CAACAAGATGTTTAATCAGAGTTTGAAGTTGAACTTTGAAAGAAAAGTGTGGGGATGAAATATTCTAAAAGGTGGATCCACGCTAAAAAAAAAACTACATGAACGATTGCGACTTTAAGAAGTACTCGGGCATTTAGACGGTTTACGTATTATAGAGGACATTGTATATAACTTCCTATTTGTCTTCACCAATCAGTTCAATTTAGGATTTATCAGTTAGATCTACTCCAACATCCTTGAGCTTCAGAAATCAGAATTTCGTCTATTGAAAAAGTGATTTCAGAACTGTATAGTTTAGAATCACTAGTTACATTTTATTGTCCTGGCTAAGTAACTTAAGTTCCTTAAGTGAAATGAGTTGACGGGTACTTTCGGATGATAGCTTTGTAGTTTTCTCTTAGCTATAAGCCTCTAATGCAAAATTTCGTCGAAGTTAACACAATTATAGTAGTACTGTGGTGCGCGCTACTTATAAGTAGTATATGACGAGAGTGTCAACGTAATGTCTGGCAGCAGAAGATGGGGGAACATCAAGAAAGGAAGAGTGGGAACACAAAAGAATTTGTATGAAACTCATGAATGGTGAGATGTCAGACAATGGATTGATGTTTTGCAAATTAACCGTTTACGATACGGTTTTCCTATTTTACCAATTAACTCTGTAATTTTCGATAAATACTATTCCGTTGCCCTCACCTGTGTCCTCCTTCACTACAGTACTACTGTACAAGTGTATTACATGAGTTTACAGTTCCTCCTGTAAACTATAGTCATTAAATTATACATCATAAAATCAAAAAGTACTTCTTCGATGTTCATTCATTTAGAACAATCTGAAAGTCATAGTAACAGCACTTGAGCAATGAAAAAAATGTGAAATTATCAGGAGCCAAATGTTAAAAATATTTAACACAATTTGGCTTTTTATCATCATGTATATGATACATTTTTAACAATTCATAATTTGAATTGAAAGCAATTCACTGAACAATTTATCTTCTCTCTAAAATTCTGCTTAGTTTCACGGAAATCATCAACATCAACGCCTACTTTCTTCCATTCTTTATTGATTTTATGCAAATTCGATACCGTGAAATGTAGCAATTGAAAAGTTTAATTTGTTCATCATATGCAATAATTTAACATTAACTCTATTTTCATAAACTGGTTTCCCATGAATTTACATGTCAAATGTTCTTAATTTTTCCACAACATCACACTTTGGTAAGTTGTATTAGCCAAAGAATTATTTCATATAGGGAAATTTAGACACTAAGTAGCACTGGACACCTGTTCCAGCTTATTGTGTGACTCTTTAATAGTGTGCACTCACTAACCTAACATGGATTAAACCCGAGATTTATAGATCTGACGCCGAATTCCTCATCATTAGGACGGTGAAAACGTTGAATAATCGATCTCGAACTCAGTCATCAATGAGCTCAACAATTTCATTTGCTGAGGTGTTTCTTTAAAAGATTTGATTATTTACACGATGGTTTCAATCAGCTGTAGACAAAACCACATCATAAACGATGGAAATAACTAGAATAATTCGGCGAACACATGATGTAAGCAAGTAGTATTGAACATGAAACAGTATCACAAATGTTTTTGAAACCATATCAAACATTTCAAATAACGATGTTAATAAAATAATCTTTTCTACTGTCAAGATTATACAAATTTAGCTATTTAAGAAAAAACGTGTTTCATCATACAAACTTGACTTTGAAATGCAAACAGGTTAGATTTTAGGCAAGTAACTACAAGGCTGTAAGTAGTAATTAATTTCGATCATCATTATTAGATTAGTTGGCGGCAAAACTATGTGTATTTCAAAGTAATCTTACATGTAAAATCATTGATATTTTGACGCTGATCTTCCCGTCGAAATTCATCAATAATCAATTAATTACCGTCCCACATTATACTCAGTCATCAGTCAAACTTTCCACTACCTGAAACACATATTACTTAATCATGAAGATTAAAATCACTCGACGATTTGGTATTTATTATTAGCCTGTCTAACTTTGACTGAATAGTGAAAGCGGATTATTTCATCAGTAAAATCTTATTACAAAAACTTTCAAGCAAAAAAGAACCCTATAATGTATCAAATATTAAATAATTAACAAACTTCGGTAAAGACTGAGATTGGACAACAGGATATTTGTCTGTCAGTCGATTAGCTAAATAGATCGACCGATATATAGACAAATAGCTGTTTTATATTTTCCTTAAGTATATAACGTATTTTTTTGATTATTTGTCAATACAAGTAAAATACAAGAAAACCAAGGGACGTTAATTGGCCTAATGGATACACAACCACTGGAAAATAGCAGAAGTATTTCTAAAATTTGAGGATAATCTTAGTAAAATATTGATTTCATGTTAATTCTGATAATCCTTAACACCATGATCTAATGAGTTTATTGATGATGATTCGATAGAAAATAAACCCGCACAATGCTATTAAAATTTACTTTAAAAATAAATCTCAATGTAAATGCATCCGATCGATAAACCCTATTGCCTGAACGAGAGAAGAGATTTTTGAAAACTGGAGCTGGCGAATATAAACGTAGTTAGGGGAATTAAAATCAAATTTTTGACACTTCGATTTTGAAAATTTGTTGAATATACTGTAAGATTCATGGAGATTATTATTATTATTATTATTATTATTATTATTATTATTGTGACTGATTCTTGTGTCGGTTCTCAGCTACCTGGATTGCGTAAATATACATAAAAGAATAGATTGATTACAACTTAGATCGCTTGATTCCAAACAGAATGAATAGTTACTTTTACTAGTTACAAAGCTGTATATAACCTAACTGAAAAATTTTTATTTTCTGACGTAATGATTGTATTATTATAGCACTACATTAATACGAAACCATAAAGGCTTTACCCTTTCATGTTTGCGTACCATTTTATTACCTATATTGTCTGCTGAAGATTTCTATAATTTTCAGAATTTAGATTTAGATTGCAAACCATTGAAAAATATGGATTGCTAAATAATTGTATTGTTATTTTTCAAAACTTCTTGACAGATTAGAGAACAGACTTCAAACAACATCAAGCTGAGAGAGTTTAGGTTTCAAGGTGTTCATTATATCATTTAACCAACTGTAAAACTGATTCCTCGGACGGTTAGTGAAAGAATATTAACTTGTGCAGTCAAAACGTCAGAAATAAGATTGTAACTCGTGAAAAACACAAAGTGAGGACTGTAAATCATTGGGTTATAAATTAATGACTAATCACCTAGATATACTATGTTTAACCCAGTATAGAGTTAAACGTAAGGAATTCTATGGCGTTCAGATCTATTACTGATTGTATAAAAATTTTCAGTAAGTAATTAAAATATATTTAAATAAAAAACTCTGACAAGAAAAAATAATTAGGATATTTTTCAATTACCAACTGAACATTTTTGTACAGCCACTACTAGATCTAAACGTCCTAGAATTCCACACTTTTAACTCTATACAAATGTCAGAGTTTGTATGGTATGAAGCGGAAATTCGGTGAACCACAGAAGACATCATCCATAAGATACAAGTGTTTATTTCTACAACTGAAAGATATCTGGAACTCGAAACAACGAACAATGAAGTCATAACTCTCAATACAAATATCAAAACCGTCCGATTGTATAGAGAGAAAACTTGGCTCACAGCTAAGCCATCATCCACATGATACAAGTGTTTATTAACAGTTTCCAATACAAGATGCTTCGTATCTGTTGACCCGAAACCATTGGCACCAGCCTACTGTGGAAGAGAAAAATGAACCCAGATTCTAGCTGATGAGGAAATTAGGAAGAAGTGCTGGAGGTGGATAGGACACACATTGTACCAATCACCTGAATACATAATGAGGCGAGCCTTAGCTTGAAACCCTCGGAGCAAAAGAGATATGTCAAAGAACACACATTAGAAGCAGACATAAATTAATGATTAGCAATAGGAAAGAACCGAAACGGAAGGCTCAGGTCGAAAAAGGTTGGAGAATGCTCCATTAAGGGAAACAAGAGCTGGTAAAGAATTGGGAAACATTTGCATTCTCATAATTCATCACTTTATTTCAATTGAAAGAGTTATCCCTTACATCATCACTTGGGACAAAATCGTTTTTGTAAAAGAAAAGTAAATAAATCATTCCGGTAGATTTTAAACAAATTATCAAAAGGTATAAAATATTTTCTTGTCACCATAACAATTAATATTATCTAGAGGGTGAGTTCATACATTACTTTTTGTTTGTAAAGGTTATATTTTTATGGTGGAGGGTGTGGAGATGGAATTTAATACGATGGATCCTAGTGTTAGATCCTTTTAAAGGCACTTCTTAAGATCAGATTATGTCACAAAATAACCATAAATAAAAAAACCAATTATTCAAATATCTGTCACAGATACTTTTGAAATACAAGATAACAGATTAGGTCGGTTGGTTCATACTACACAAGACATAAGTATCTTCATAATGTTCAGTTAGTAAGAAAATATCACTAATGGAAGTATTGTGTGTGTGTGATTCATTCACCATTATTAGTCTAGGTTTGTTAAAAAAAATACCAAGTATTTTTGAACGAAGTAATATGAAATCATCATGGTCAAATGTCTAGATGAAATGTGATCAGTGGAAGATTTGTTTATTTATGAAGAGGAACTATAAGCTTTAATTAAACTGATCTAACTGTCATCCAGAAAGAAATCAGTAAGTTGTATTACACAAGTTGTCACTACTAGTACCATAGTCACACAACTGTGTATTCTTTAGACAGCTCACTGTTATCTCAACTACACTTACTACGAAATAGTCCAAAATAGTTATGGTAAAATGACACTACTGCATAACGAACAATTTGTTAGATACTTTTGTAAATGAAATCTTCACCATTAATTGCAAATAAACAATTTTAATTTTTCTAATAAACTGATTAATAAATTGAGTACTATAATGAAACTCACCGATTTTTTAAATGAACCATTTGGTTGTTTGCATTCAATGTTATTCAAATTAACAGGATGATATATGAGCAGTTTACCTTTAATCTGTTTATTCTCAAGTCTCTTATGTTTATCACAATTATTTACAGTTTGAAAATGACCAGTTGCAATAGGTTCAAAATTTGTGTTTTCCATGATTTCTTTTGTCGGTGATTGAATTGAATTGTTGGAGACTGATGTACAAGTGGAACATGTAAGTGGTGAAGTCAAGGGTGATGACAAAGATGATAATGATGATGAAGAGGAAGATGATGAGGACAAGGAACAGGTAGAATAGAACAAGGATAATGAACATGAGTTAGGCGGCAATGATGAACTGGATTCAAGTAAACTCATAGTTGGAAAACAATGTGAAGAAGCATTGGAATAGACCACGTCCACCAGCTGATGATAATCTATCTTGTTATTCGACAAAAGATGTCTGCCTAATCTGTTGGCTTTACAATTAGGAGACATTTTAATTTTATCATCATTCAGCGCGGAGTTCTGCAAATCTAACAGTCCAGATTTAATTGAACTATAATAATGATTACAGTTCTCTTTGCTGAATAATATGTTATTGGATTGTTCTATCAGTGGCGAGTTCATGATAGAGTGTTGACCACATTCGGAACAATTAATTATATTTTTCAAATATTTTGATCCTTTAGTGACAATTTTCTCGGCAAATATATCCAAACTAAAATTGACCAAGTTCTTTAATTTATTATCAATGCCTTTTTCTAAATGTTTTACAACTCTTTGTAATTGTTCCACAAATAATTTGATTAAATCAAAATGCTTTGAACAAATTTGTTTTTCATTTAATAGAAAAATCATTAGATTGTAGGTGCGTTTAATTTTCATCAATTCAAACTTTGTATTCTCACAATAATTAAAATATAAATCATTGTCTCGAACGGAATCTTGTTTACAGTTCATTATACTTTTCGCATCACTTGAATCTACTGTTTTTGTAATTTTGGTAATACCAGTATTGTTATTATTATCACTGTGGCTTTTGTTGCACATTTGGAAACTATAAATACTTCCATTATTACTTTTAGCAATAAGTACTGACAGTAGATCGATTTGATTAGACTCAGTTTGTTTTGGATTGAGAAATGGGTTTCTATAATACTGATATGTTTGTGATGTTGCTTTCCAATCAGTACAATATAAGTATAATGAATCTGTTATAGCCATAATTTTCTCTATTTGTTTTACGACTATTTATCTATTTTTGCGTTCTTCCTAGACTCGAAAAAAAAGCATACGCATAACTTTTTTTAACTTCCATTTATACTTATCTTTGTTTCAGCACATGTCTTAGTGAATTCTGATTTTTTTTTTCAATAACCTCAAGGAGGTCATTTCGCTTGTGATTTGTTCATTCAGGTTGTCTATAATTTGATTGGTTGTTTGAAAGCCCAACAATGAATATGTAGTTAGAAATAACCAATTAGAATACAAGTAATGGCATAAACTAATCTGAGTTGTAATTTTTTAAGCAAACTGAGACTTTCTAACTATATTCATCATTAGGCATAATGACAAACGTACATAAGATCCTAGCTAACTGGAAATGGTCGCAGTGAATCAATTTCTTTAACGAAGTGACAGTAATTTATGAGACAAATATTCGCCGATAGTTGGAACATGAATCCTAAGAAGAGTGTGTTTTCTGTTGGAGTTAGTCGAAATAAATTAAACTGCTTACGAAGTTTCATACAACTTGATCTATCTTTTCCATTTATTTATGTTTAATAAGTATTTGTCTCCTTAAAATTTAATGCTTTGAAGCACAGTCCCGTCGCCAGGTTATGTAGAAATATATTAAATCTCTCTTATACGAGTCGAGTCTCACTAAGCGAGAACTAAACCTTCACGGGAGAACAATTAGGTATAACATTATGAATGGTTTAAGTTTGTGCTCTATTTACATACTAATATACTTTCATCTTGCAACTAGCTAGAAGATATAAACATTTATCCTCATGAACTCCTACAATGGAAATGCTTTATGAACATATTATATTGTGTAAAAACATAAAAGGATTTCAAACAAACACCTATCACTGTAATCACTAGTTGTTTTTGGAAAAGTAATATACAGAAACTTTTCCAAAGATCAGAAACCTCATCGGGAAACAACACCTACAACTTGGAACCTACCTGGAGACACTCCATTGCAACATCACCCAGTCAGTTCGATCCAGCACCTCTCAACATAAAAGAAACATAACATCTGAACCACGTTTCTTTCCTAATTCCTGTAATTTAGCTCTAATCGCTGCACTCATCTCATCGCGTAGCCGTCTGAGAATGGCTCCCAATATCTGACTCACGATATTTTTTGAGGACCCTAATAGTGTGTAAATTGATAATCTTTCTAGTAAACGTATCACATCTTCTGGAGCTCTACTTTTTAATTTATAAGCACATGTGCTTATTTCAATATATACTGGATTCAATTATTACTTCATAATGTCTCTGAATTCACCAAAGATAGGTCCTTTAGATAAGCTTCAACAAACTACAATGTTTACGTAATTGCAGTTCTAGCTACTGTGAGAGCTTTCAATACAATGGTTAGTGCTATTTGCTGTGTATTGAATGATACATTCAAATTACGCACTTATCATTTCAAAATTATTTATTCCTTTAGCTGAATGGCAACCTATATTATTCGTTTTCGAAAGGAATTCACTATGGAAATCACGAACTCTACTTATGTCATTTCCAGTTTCGTTGGGCTTAATTTGGTATTCAAAAGTATAGAATGAAACGATGCAGCTGCAACGTACTTGTAGCCTACCTCTATTCAATTTGTATATCTTTACTTAATAATTCGTCATTGTTTCAACTATAACCAGAAAGACAGAATCATATTAGCCATATTACAGTCTTGTGCTTATAGCCTTTGCTCATTAATTTTTGGAAGTCATGAGAAAGTTAAAGGAATAGCCATTATGTGATTCACATAAGCAAGGACAGAGTGTTGTGGGTGCTACTCACAAGGTGCCATGTAGTTATCATGAAGCGAAACGTCGCTTAGGAGTTGGTACCAGAGAGAGGAGTTTCTGGAGATCGAAATGCGTGGCGTGATCAGATTATGTGACTACCGTAAGAGATGGGATTGAAGACAGTCATTAACCTGATTGTATTTCAAATGGATGTTTGAAAGTTACGTTTACCTATTTGATAAATAAACTGTGTTCTTTAAATATAGATATTTTCAATCTGGTCTTGACTTCTTCGTATTTTACAATAGAACACTATGAAAATTAAGAAACACTATCTACTTAGTGTGGAATGAAGTCGTTTACTGACATTACATGGATATATCGAAACTAAAATTACACCACGTTTGTATTTACCTATTTCACTGGTTGAACAATGGCATTTAAAAGATGAAATTCAGCTAGATCCTTTTTAATTAATTAGAATACTGAGATCTATTATCTTAAATGAGAAAGTAATTACTTACTTACTTTCTTTCGCCTGTTAGCCTCAATAGAGCATAGGCCACAGACCAGTTTTCTCCAACCATTTCTCTGTCCTGGGCCTACCGTTCCAGTTCTGTCCTATTTTCATTCATTCTCCTCATGTCTGTCTCCATTTCTCGGTGTAATATGTTTGTTGGTCTTCCTTCTCTCCTTTGACCTTGAGGGTTCCAAGTGAGGGCTTGTTCTGTAATGCAGTTGAGTGCTTTCCTGAATGTGCGTTCTATTCACTTCCAGCGCTTCTCCCTCATATCTTCCTCCGCTGGAATCTGGTTTGTTCTCACTCACAGTAGGTTGTTGCTGATGCTGTCCGGCCAACCGATCGGAAGTATTTTGCGTAGACAACTTTTATTAAATACTTGCATCTTCTGCATTATGGCTTTGGTAGTTTCCCAAGTTTCCACTCCATACAGTATAACTGTCTTGACATTTGTATTGAAAATTCTGACTTTGGTGTTGATTGATAGTTGTCTTGAGTTCCAGATGTTCTTCAGTAGCATTCGCTTTGCCAGTCCGCGCCTTTGCATCTGCATCAGATCCACCTTGGTTGTCGATAATGCTGCCCAGATATGTAAAGGTGTCAACGTCCTCCAAAGAATCTCCATCAAGAGTGATTTGGTTGGCGCATGTTATGTTGTATCGTAGAATCTTGCTTTTCTTTTCATGTATGTTGAGACCTGTTGCTGCTGAGGCTGCTGCTACACTGGTCGTCTTCTCTTGCATTTGTTGTTGCGTGTACGATAGAAAAGCCAGATCATCTGCGACGTTCAGATCGTCTAGCACCATCCTGATTATCCATTGTATACTGTGCTTCCTTCCAGATGTTGACGTCTTCATAATCCAATCGATCACCAGGAGAAAGAGAAATAATTCCACTTAACCTATTATTTATTGACGTATAAATGTGGACAATTCAGAAAATACAATTGTGTAAATATTTAACAAGGATAACTTTTATTATTAACTATTCAAGTAAATGTAAAGGAGATAATCAAAAAGTAGTTTCATATAAATCGTTATTCATTTCAATATTGTAGTAGATTGTCTGAACTTGGGAACTATTTCTAGATAGTTTTCACCTAAAAACTTCTCACTTTGACTAACGTTTACTTAATAAAGTTCTAAGAACATCTGAAATCATCCTCCAGCTAAGCTATTCATTTTCCTTCATCAAATCTGCTTGCGAAATGACTGAAATAATTTGATCAGTAATATTCTATCTCTAAATAGCATTTCGTATTTTGATTTAACTGACTTTAGGCAGCTCATAATTAACCTATCCTATTTGGTTTAAACCATCTTAGATTTCTGTTAGATATTCATGGGATCCTAGAGAAAATATGATAAAATAACCTACGCGAAGGGACATTAAGTGGTTCCGATTGCAAATAGTAGTGAAATTCATCTTCTATTTACGGCCCATCAGTTGAATATATCCAGGTTCAGTAATATCACTCTACAAAATTAGATGATACTTGCAGGCTCGAACGAAAACATCGATTAACGTAACCAATCAGGATGGGTCCGCTTGTTTTTAGTCTTATTCACAGACTTTATAATATTTCAGCGCTCATCAATCAAACACGTATAGTGAGTGCTTCATTTCTCTTTTAAAGGCTTAGCATTAAGATATATTTGAACTCTGCATTGAGTCCATCTAAGACTACGGTTCCTATGGGTTGAAACACTGTGTTACCTAACCCTTAAATCACAAACAGAAAGATAAATTTAACGTCTAGCAGCTATTAAAGTATGATTAACCTGTGGACACAAGAATAGCGATTATTAACATATATTTTCTAAAGGTATTGTAACATATATTTTTATAAATGGCTATCATTTATGACCTTTTTTAGAAGTAGTTTTGTCCGAAAATTAGGGATTGCGTTATCATACAAAACAGTTTTATTTTGATTCAACCTGTACTTATATTAACATAGAACTCGAAAAATATTTCACCTGACATATATATATATATATATATATATATATATATATATATATATATATATATGTTATCTAAGATGAATTCAAAATAATCATGATAGCATATACAAAAGCAAATGAAACGATAACTAATACTGTACTAATGACTCACTAAAAATCAGAGACATGAATGACTAATCACTTCGTGTTTATCATATTAGTCTTTTGTATCAGGTACAGAAAATAATCTTATTATCGCACAAATAACACGCAAAAATCATGTAAATAATGTAGTCAATAGTATTTTTTTTTAATGAGAAGTTAAAAGATCGTGTGCGAAACTGAAGTACCTGGGTTTGACCTCCGGTTAAGCGTCTCTGGATGCACAATCCTGAGAAGTGTATAGTTATTAGATAATTAATGATTTGATAGGATTACATAGATTTCTTCATAGACATATTAGCATAATGTGAAAATAAATTTTATTTTTCAACTGTTTACAATCATTGATCGACCAAAATTGAAATGTTAGAAAAAACGCCTCAGTAGTTTAGTGATGATTTTGTGTTGGATACAAAGTCCATTGGCTGCAGGTACAAACACCATTATTGTTTTAAAAAATCAGTACTAAGAAATTCCGTTTCACATTTCTGTGCCAGACTTGTTATGGTTTGTATACTATGAATGATAGAGTATTGAGACCGAACAATTGTTTGTATTTGTCTATAAATTAATATGAGTTTTTTAAGCACCGTCATCTGAATAAACTTCCAATGTTCAATGTAACATTTTCCAAGGTCAGTCAGTTATCAAGA